CACCATATGCTCTGGGATTGGGCATCTACAGAGCAAGGCAGGCTGGCATGTCTGTCAGGGTTTTGGGAAGCCAAGGGAGTGAGGAGAATGGGAACCTAAACAGCGGGAAGATGATATGCGAACACACATGCATGTGTGTGTGTGTGTGTGTGTGTGTGTGTATATATATATATCCATTTATGTGTGCATGATCGTTGGAGAGGCAGGACGGTGTCATAATTACACCCAGCATCATAATAGAAAAAAAAAAAGCAGTCAAAACAAGAAGATGCAGGGAAGCCACAGAGATTGTGGCTTGAAGAAAGTCTAATGTCCAGGAACCTGTTGTAGTCCATGCAGAGGAGGTGTTTCAGCCCAGGACATTACAGAAGCAAGAAGGCTCTAGTGGTAAAGGTCAAGGAGCAGCGGATTAGATCTCCAGGATAAGGACACACAGGCTTAGCCTTAACCTAAGCCAAGAACCTGGTGAGAACAGGTCAGGATGGAGGAGTTGTGCTTTGTGGAAGAACAGGGTGCTGACAGGTGAGAAGAGGTCCCCTCGAGAGAAGCTCAGCATCATCTGCACAGCCAATGCTCCAGGCAAGAACAGCAACCGTGCCTGGAGGGAAGGCCACAGCACCACGGCTGGACAGAGATGCCTGTGGGCAGCCATGGCCCTCCTGGGAGCAAGGACCAGGGAACCAGCTCCCAGTGACACCAGCAGGGGCATTTTGACAGTGCTAGCTGCTGATCTAGCAGCATTAACCCTTCCAAAATATAAATGGTCTTAGTGTAGCTGGTGTCAGTATGAATATTAACTGACAGGATGCATGGAAACTGCTTAGCCTGTTGTCTGGCATATCAAAATCCATCGCCCAAACAAGAATTAAGACTTCCAACTCTGTGAACATTGGCCCCCCCTTAGATGGGAGATCTGGGGATGAGCAATTTTAGGTAAACTCACAAGTCACCCACGTACCACAGACTTTGCTCTGATCATACGGGATTGGATCTCTATAAATCCATCAAGTCAAAAACAGCATTGTCAAAAATGCATTTCATCCACCTGACCTACTGAACACCACGGCGGAGGTCAGCCTGCGGTCAGAAGGCTTAGGGGAGACACAGTCGGGCAAAGTCATCCCACACAGACCCAATATTATACTAGAGTGTTGACAATCCATCAATTTATTGAACATTATACTAAACGAGAACCCAGAGTGTGTGTATGGCTGTGCTTTCTCACCCAGAAAGTCCAACAGTCTTAAAGTGGGACCATTCTAAGCCCGGGGCCCTTGTGGAAGGGATGTGCTAGGAATCTTAAGCAGATTTGTCGAACTCCAAAGCTCCTCCCCTTTCAGCTAGCTCACACAGACTGTGTCCCCTTCAGTCCCAACTCAGAGGCCACATACTTCACAAGGATGTGTCAAAGCAAGGTCCACAATCACCCTGAACCAAGGGATCTAACAGAAAGCCCTCAGTGATCCCCCCGTTGACTCACACATTTGAGGGGCTAGGTAATCAGCTCAGCCTGTGAGCCTGACGTGTGGGTTTGGGTCAGGGGCACAGGTTGACTCCATGGGATAGGAATAAAGAGGCTCTCTCGGACACTTTGAAACCTCGTTCACAGGCGCCTGGTACAGACCCATCCCTGGTGTTTCTCAGTATTGTGTATGCGTTTTAAAAAATCTGCCCTGTGCATTGCTCTCCCCACTGGCAACACCCGCTACTTTCTGACACAGTGTGCCAGTGACGCAGAACCTGTGGGCAACCGGTCCTGCAAACTCCAGGGGACACCTGTTATCACCAATGTCCCTGAGGGTGGCGAGGGATCAGCCGTTTCCATCTGAGCTTCAGTCTGCCTCCTGCTCTGGTACAAACCATTCCAAGGGCCACGAGAGGAGTCCGCTGTGTAAAACTACAAAACAGCATGTCCCGCGGCTCTGTAGATTCTTATTCTTGATTAATGAAGAGACAAAAATAAGACAATACGAAAAAAACTGCTATGCTAGTCAGAAACCAGTGAAGTGAGATGAAGAAGAACACTTTGTTCTGATGGGTGGAAGGTCAGAACTAATCCTCTCTCTCACCCTCATTTTGAGACCATCTGAGTGCAGTTTTGCAGCAGAATGATGAATTGGGGGTTGTCTTAACTTGCTAGGTGCTGTAGATCTCATCTATTTTATTTTACAAGTCATTTGGCACAATGGTAATAATGACGATGAAACTGAATTCTCGCTACTTAAGAAGGCCATCTACTTTGTGCGTAAATACCACAGCCCGTGCATTGAGTTGTCAGGGCAAGGCCATTACCCAGCCACCACTTCTAGTTACAGTAACTGTAATGTCACTAATTTAGTGGTACGGTCAAGTTTATGTATAAGCAGAATCAGGCAAACCTTTGCAGAATTTTTTACAAATGTAAAAATGACCTTTTCCGTGGTATATCTTTTTTACCTACATGTAAAATAAGCTTATTTCTTCCCACTAGAGAATCACCTCTTTATTTTAGAATTCTTAGTTGTTATGTATTTTTTTTTAGAAAGCAGATTATTCTACCAACTGATTTGGAGATCAAGAATATATCCACGTTGGCCTGGATGGGGTGAGAATGAGTGTCACCAAGAGGAGACGCTAAGCCCTAGCTCTAAACTCTAAGCTCACAGGAAAAACATCTATGGCAAAATTCATAGAGAGCCTTAGACTGATCTCAATAGAAAAATACATAAAATTATGCAAATGGAGTCTTTCTTAGCAATCAACTCCAAATTGACTGTTGCAAATACACACCTCTCTTCTCTAACCGGATCCCACTACAGTCATCAATTTGGATTATTTTCAAAAGTATTCCTTCTAAGTTTCCTGATGAAATATGCTGAACACATCTTGTCCTCTTGAAGTAAATGTGCTTTCCATGGTTCATTAAATCCCCATGTCTCAGGCATAATCCAACGGCATCCCCATGTACCTTAGAACTGAGCCGTGCGTGGCTAAAAATACTGTTCCTCTTGATTATTGCAGAATTGGATAGTTATATTTTCTTAAAATAAAAGATGATTTCATAAACGAGTTCGCTTGATTCCTATCTGGCTCTTCCAAGACCCATCTTCAGTGTCTTTAATTTATTTAACTAGGAATTTTGAGATGCAACTTTTAATACAAACAGACACAAGAAAAATAGAATTTGAACCCTCCCCGTGACCACAATGACTCTGAAGGGTTAACGTGCTAGGGCTGGAGGTGTAGGGCAAAGGTTGAGCAGTTGCTTAGAGCCCAAGTTCCATCTATAGCACCTCAAATAAATAAATAAATAAATAAGGGAAAAAAACGAGAAATAAAGAGTTTTCATGCTCAAAGCTGGCTCGTGTTGATATTTTGGGTCAGTCAAGATGTGTTGGCCTCCAGGAGCTGAGAGCTGTAGCTGGATAAATGGAGTTTCCAGGTGCTCACAGAGTCCCATGCTCCATCTTAAAGAGTGACTCTTTGGAAGCTGACGACACACCTAATCACCTCCAGGTGCCTTGAATTCACAAGAGGCACCACACTGAAAGGCTGAGGCTTCAAATAGAGACTGTGAAAAAAAATATGCTTTTAGGTGAAAAAGTTTTCAGGACCCCTGAATAACATAGATCTCTACAGAATTTAGAAATTGTTTTTCTCCTTTCCAGAGTGAACTTGTGGTTTTTACTGCCTGTATCAATCCCTATATTTTTACCCTACTATTGAGAGATTTGTCACGTTCTTTTAGTTGAGATGATATTCCTTGCCTTTATCAGCAATGAGGATGTATGAGAAAAGGGAGGATTTTTATTTTGCAAGGCCCACATCCCCTCACACGTTCTTCAGCTTGTGTAGGTTGATTCTGAGCAGGCAGAGGACAAGACAGATGTTGAATCACTGTACCCATGAGACGACCGTAAAATTTGAGGGAAGGAGGATGCTTCAAAGGATCAATCAGAGGACGACCATGGAGAGATGGACAGAAGCGGTCAGGGAAAGAGTCTCTGAAGACCAGTTGGCATTTGAGCCCAGTTCGGATGATGGGGAGAGGTAAGAATGCTCCTGAGACGCCACACAGACGTGGTCCTTGAGGACTGCGAAGAGCAACCCTGCAGCAAGGGACAGAGCAAGGAGCAAGAGGATCCTGTGGAATGACAGAAGGCGTGGAGTCTGGTTTAGAGCCTGCTCCTCACCGCTGATGAATTGCATGATTTTCGGAAAGCCAATCAGCACATCTAGACCTCTAATTCCATCTCTTGGAAGAACAGGGGGTGGGGCCAGTGTGTAGGAGCAGGTCAGACAGCACAAGAGACAGTGCTTTAGGAATGTTAATGCACTCTGTACCTGTAGGCATTTTGACTAAGGAGCATCCAGGCTGACTTCTACAATTCACAGGCTGGAGATAGATGGGACATGGGAAAGTGCCCCCCCCAACACCTTTCAAGGCCCCCTCAAAGCAAAAGCGGGGATTGGAAATGGGAGGAAATTTGAGCATGAAAACTTTTTTTTTCTTTTTCTTTCTTTTTCTTATTTATTAAAATAGAAAACAGGAAAGGGAATGTGAAGGCTCATGGAATTCAGTGATTAGAACTGTTTTCTCTAAGGGAAGAGACAGTAAAAATTTCAAATTTGCTGACCACATGTCTATACTGCAGCTACTCAGTGCTGTTCTCCTAGCATGAAAGCAACCATGCACCACACATGACCCAAAATGTACCTCTGTTCCAACATAATTTTATCTGTGGGCCCTGAAATTTGAATTTCATGTAAATTGCGTGAATCAAAAAAAAATCTTCTTTTGATAGTTTTTCAAGTATTTATGAAAATCATGGCCCACACAGAAATAGGTGGTGGACTGGATATGGTCCAAGGGCCATGGTTTTCACTCCTACTTTAGTCTGTTCTCCCCTCTCATGGATTTCCTGTAAGGGGGACCCAAACCTACTAGTGTCTATGAGGTATTCTTGTGAAGATAGGATAAGAGACTATCATTCAAAAATCAAATCAGGAAAATAAAGTCATACAGAGAATTTTAAAAAAGACTCTATTTAAATGAAAGGGATGATTTACACACTCTGTGCCTCAGACAAGGAAGATCTACAGGGGACCTCCAAAGATAAGCACGTGCAGCCAGATTAAGAAGTTTGCTAATTGACACGTGTAAGTTCACAAAGATAAACAGAGCCGCATTGGTCGGACACACCAGCTGCGCCGCTCGGCTCAGACAGACCACGTTCTCTGTCGCTAAGAATCCTGTCAGATTAAATCAACCTGCAAATATACAATTGTGACATCTTGTTCTCTGTGGTACAGTGCGTGCCACTGTAGTCATTATCTCAAAGTTCTCTCACTCTGAGGCGCACCAGTGTTTAATTATATTCTTTTATGAGCCCTCATTTGTAGACATCATCCTCTCTCAGAGTTGGCTTTGCTGAGGGAAAGTAGGTCATTATTTTCAAGGCTGTCCCCAGCAGTACTGAACAGGAAGCGCTCAGCAGTGTCCTTTTAAGTACAGCGTTTTGTGGAACCAAGACTCTGTGTTCTTGCTTCAAATTCTTTGGCCGTCAGTTGAGGGATGAACTCATCTCCCAGTTTCTACAGGCCCTTCCTGTCTAGGACGAGACCCTGGAGATGACAGGCTTGCAATCGGGGTCTGTTCCCTCCAGTAGGCAGGTTGCATCTTTCATAACAAAGGGGGAGAAAACAATAGTTTAGTCTATATTTCAGATGAAAAGCCACAATTAGGAATCATTTGAGAAGAATTCCTGGGAGTCTCTGCCATGAGGGTTGCTACAACAAGAGCTGGAGCCACTATCGCCACAGACCACATCCCACCTGTAGCTTGATTTAGTATACAGGACTGCTGGCACACGGCCAGGCTTGTTTACAGATGTATTTATCTGTGGTTATTTATCCGTAGCTATTTTCTCAGGGCAACACCTACCACCTGCCAAGTCTAAAATATTTACTGGCCCTTTCTAGAAAACTTTGCCCATCCCTGCTACCCAACTATAAAAAATACAGTTAAAAATATAAATGCACTCAAATTAGCATTTTTGACAACACTGAGTGAATTTTTCAAAATTTAATTCTAGTATGCTATTTTCAACTTAAAAATGAGACATCATGCCTAAAGTGCTTTTGTTCTGCATTGTTCATCTAAATTAACATTCTCTGCAAGGGGTACTATGTATTTTGCTGGTGTTCCAAAGAAAACTAAAATATGTTCTTTCTGGGCAGGTGTACATAATATGTGTATATGAGTGTGTGCTCATATGTGATTAAGAGTGTTTAATAAGAACAAGATTTCTGAGTTTTTAATTTTGAATTAAAACGGGAGGTCTCCACTCAGGCTGGCAAATATAGCCTACCCAAACCATGCGGGCCTGGGGGTTCATCTAGCAGCATCAGGCTAGGGAGGAGATTCTGCGTCATGTGTGTGGAATCCCCAGATGCTGGATTAAGAGGGAAGCAGTGTCTGCCCTAATGTGGGACAACTGACTTTTCCAGGACCACACTGGAGTAGGAATCAGAGTGTACACCAGGCTCATCCATTTCTCCAAGAGCGATGCAAAGACCTACGCAGGAGAGGGGTGGTACGGGTGCTCCTGAACGCATCTCATAGACAATTCTACACCCAGTCAGCTGCCTTTTTTTCTGGAGATGGGTCAACAACACTGGGATATGTGGAGAAAACGTAGGAATCGGGCTCAGTACAAATGTTGGATCCAGCAAAGACATTGCTGATCTTCTTTAACCAAATTAGGACATAATGATTTCCCCCTTACTTTCTCCAAATTATGTGCACTTGCATACACCATCAAGAAGTATAACCCACCCTCTCCCCCAGCTAGCACCCAACTGGGAGAGGGATTTCAGCTGGCAGTGACTGTAGAGCTAGCTTGAGGACTGGAGGCATGTGTGATATTTTGAGTTCTACATATGTGGTTGAGTTCCTAAAAAGAACCTTTTCCTAACTAGAATCCACTCACCAAAGCCAAATGAAACATTATGATTAGATATAGAAAAAAAAAGGAATATTTAAGCATCTCTTCTAGAAATTCTGCTTTTTCTCATATGTTTTTTTTTTTCCAACGTCTAAAAGTCACCCAAATGCTCAGCATCTAACCCACTGAGTACTTACCATTAATTTTGATTTACTTATAAAGGTCTTCTGTTAAGTGAACAAGGGCTCAGTATGTGGAATGACAGCTTGATTTTTCTTCTTTTGACATCTGTTAAAAATGAGCTATGATATCATCAATCATGTTAACTCTGTGGTATTGCGTTATTCCTTGGGTGTTCCCAGATTTCATCTGACAACTTTCTCTAGGATTCAAACCATAAACACTTCCTCTAGAGTCGTAATGAGGGGTGTAGTTATAAATCCAGGGGACTGGACCTAATAAAAAGAAATACATAGTTTTGTACTCCCTCTTTCCCCAACTGACCAAATTAATTCTTCACCATAATTTCCTACAAATATAAGAAACAAGTACAACCAATGGAAACTAAAAGCCTAAACAAATAGAGGTTTAATTGTCCTGAACAATTCGGAACAATATTCAATTTGTCGTGAAATGATATAAAATATATAAGAATATATCTATTATAAATTTGAGTTCTACATATGTGGAATAATCTATATAATGACAGATAAACTCATGAGCAAGGTGATTTTATAGTTTTATTCAATAATGAAATATTTTATTGTCAATTTCTAGTAGCATTCCAGATTTTTGTTTAAAACACCAACTTTGGTAAGAAAATCATAGAGTCTCTTCTCACACATAGTCCACTTCTGTTTCTCTCTTTTGGAGATCTGTACTCAACCTAAGAGGTTGGAAACTGTCTCGCAATTCAATATCAAAATAATGCATGAGTGTCTGGGTGTTTGTGAAGTGAGTATGTTTTCAGCTACTTAATGCCTACTCATGTTGTAAATTACAGTATGGCATAAGGGACACTATGTTTTAGAAATTTACACTGAATTTGAATTGAATTCAAACTGAATTTGAAATTTGCTAAGGGATTTTCAATTTCAAGTCAGCCTAATATTGAAAAAGTTACACTTTTTTGCCTTATTATGCTCAGCGAAATCAACAGTATGAAAGCCAACCAAGAACTTCATGGACGAGACCAGCTGGACTTTTACCACACTCATTTCCTCTTCTTCTTGGGCCAAACGCAGCCATACTAGTGATCATGCAGTCCCATGAGTGACATCTAGCCAGTGAATTCATGTGGCTGGAAGTGTTTTGTGCCATCTCTAAGTCTGGAGCTCATGAACTTTCCTGAATAATGCTGTGTTACCATGTCTCTTATGCAGAGAGGAAGAGGAAGCGGTTGTGAACATGGTAGACTACCAGCCAGAATAGGTTCGCTTCTACAATCTTGGAGAAGAGCCAGCTACCAATCAGAAGAGGCCCTGGCAAGCAATGAACCACTGATACATGAAAATGTATTAAAGGAGTGAGAGTCACCTCCATAAATACAAGCTTGAGTGACATGACTTCTGATGTGACACTAAATTATTAATTTTTAAGTCCAGATGCTAACAGGTCTGTAGAAATGCTGGAACAAAGATTTTCTTAACAATTTCCACAGCCTCCTAGACACTTCGATTGGCAAATTAACAAAGGCACAAAACCAAGCAGAGGAACTTACGCTACCAACCCCATTATCTTTCTAGGGTAGAAAATTTGGAAGGAATTCCAGGCTGCAGACTCCACCTACACACAAAGCGCATAGATCTCCTGGGAACGGACATGCAGACTACAATATCAAAAGAACTTCCAAAGGAATTATTTCCAATTGCAAATGCCTTCAGATCACACTTAATCCTGGAATAATCCCTCCACCCTTCTGTTTTTGGAGAAACCCACCTTCCTAGAAGCCTAGAGAACCATACATGATGTGTGTGTGTGTGTGTGTGTGTGTGTGTAAGCATGCAAGGACTACTTATAAAGAGAAAAAATTCATAGAAAACAACCTCAGTACATTTAGGCTAGCATTGTGCAAAAGGTTCCAGTGTCCTGCTGCCAACTTCATTTCTAGTTGGTACTTTCAAAGTAAAATCGTCACACATGACTCTGGGTGCTCAACCACAGCATGCCTGTCCTGAAAATGCCCTTCCTATTCAAGGACTCCACTCCTGACTGCAGCATGTGGGATCAGGGGGCAAAGAAGATTCTCTCCTCCAGGGATTCTGGGATTCTGCTGCAGCAATCCTAGTGAGTGGGCACTGTTGGTCGAAAGGGTGGCATGTGAAGCCCGGTGTCTAAGTACAAAGGATACCACTCTGAAGAGGTCTACAGATGAGGGAGGCTGAGCACGAGAAGAGAAAAGAGAGTCAGAATGAGTGAAAGAGGAAGTGAGCCAATTTATGGACATGAGAGCCTGCATTATAGGGGCTTTCCCACTCCTGGTTGTACACCCTCCCCTGGAATGTATTTTGCTTCATAATAGGGGAGTAATAGGAGAGTAAAAGAATGGCACCTTCAAACCTCCCAGTACCAGCAGTTCTCGCTTCTGCTAGATGATATCTTTAATAGGCCCTTCTCTTCCAGTCCTCCCTCTCCAACACTCAAGGCATTTTCCCCTCTGCTTTACTAATATTTTCAGCAAGTCGTTTCCTACTTGTCTGTAAGGATCTGGATCAGGCATCACCTCCTTGGTGACGCCTTACCAGATTCTGTTAGGCAAAGTTACAAAGTTAGTTATCCCTGTGCTTTCCCTCCTGAATCACAGCTATTTGTTTACGCAACCCTCAGCAGTTGTACACTGGAGCACTGGCCAGAGGACTGCTGTAGAGTTTTCTGGAATCTGCAGCATTCAGCTCTGGGGAGCACACAGCAACTTCTCTGTAACTGTTCGTGAACTGAATGGATGGATGCAGCCAATGGAGTCAGCCGTGTCTTCAGATGTCAAGTCACTCCGCACATGCGGCTGGCACCCTCGGTCTTGGGAAGACAATTTTTCCCTTCTGAGATGATCTGCCTCTTTGCCCTCTGTACATACACATCACCAGACAGGATCTCTGTAGGGTACTTCATATGTCACTTCTAGAACAAGTTTCACTTAAGGGAAATTACATATAAAAAATGTGTTGGGAGAGCTTCAAACATCACTGTGATTTAGATGCACTCACAGGTAGCCTGCTTTGTTGCTTAAATGAAGGAGCTCTGTCAGTTATACCACAAAGTATCAAATTGAAGTGATTTGAAGAAAAGAGTCAATTAAAATACAGAGTTTTTGGAGGCCTAGACACACCTGAAGCAAATAATCAGAACAGTTAGTAAAACAACTTGCAAGCCCTGTCTCAGCAATGCCAGGTCTTTAGCACTTTGCAGTCTAGATTTCCTGTCTCACTTTTCTGAGTCCAAGGCATATATACCCACAACAGGCGAAGAGCAGCACAGACCACTACAGGGATTCTGCTTCCTTCTAGCTTCAAAGAGTTAGGAACTGTTGGCTCCCTGATTTTTAAATATCTACAGAGGGACAGGAGAAGGAACAAAAAGCAAAGGGGTTCTTTGCCTGTATGCATGTCTGTCTCTCCCAACTCTTGTGTATAAACATATGCAAAATTATACCATTACATAGAAGGACATGCCCATAGGGACATAGGTGGGCGTGCATATATGTACATGTGTGTGTGTGTGTGTATATAAGACTGAAACTCTTCTGACTTTTTCCTCCAACCTTTCATAAGGTGAAGTTTCATCAAAGCACATCATGTGACTCTCCAGGAACCTCACTGAGCAGGTCTGACTCATCGTCTGGGAATTTTAAATAAGCATGTGCTTCCATGAGAGTTAATACTTAAAAACACACACACAAACTGGCAGTGAAAGAGAGAAAGAAGAAAGAAAAAAAATGCAAGTGAAACTTTTGCTTGGCACAAACACTCGGGTCACGCACTGGCCACTCAATATTTCACAGTTAATTACCAGGCGGAATCACCTTCCCATGAAGGTGGTGGTCGGAGCTCAGGGGCAGGGGCAGTAAATCTACACTCATATCCTGAAGTCAGCCAGTTGGATTAGGCACTAAAAGGAACTGTCCCCCCGAAGTTGTTGACCCTGATTCCCCTCTGTGATAGAAGTTTCCCCCGAGCCAAGGGCCATGTCTGCCCACTAGTGGTCAGATGGCAGGGCTGGTACCTGGCCACTCCCTGGAGGGTTTGGTGCTGGTTCTCTCTGGATCAGTGTGGGCAAGATGCCCAGTCTGAATTTTAAGTCAGCATTTTGCAATGTACCAACTCAGCTCTATTAGAGAATAAGAATAAATAAATAAGAATATAATACAGGGTATCTCAACCTCAAAGGAGTAATTCTGTTGGCAGAGATTATTTAAAATTGATTAAAAACTGATATTTGCAGTCTTATAGTAAAATCTGACATTTCCAACCTATTCCTAAAATCAGCTGTATCAATAACACTAAAATGAAGAACTTTATTTTCTCTCCATCCAGCTTCTCGTAGAGTACCACACTGATATTTTCACCTGAAAACCAACTACTGAGTGTTCTTCCATTGTTCTTGGAACTGATTGAAAAACCTTAGGTTGAAACTAATTTTTTCACAAATCGGACTCTACCTGTATTTGCAACATAATCTCCATTAAGTCCCAAAACTATATTTTAGGCAAACACTACTGTAGGCTGACCTCACACTTTATTCATGGGACGTTTGAACCCTGTTCTAGTACCGACATATGCCAATGGACCCTTATCTCAAGGTCAAGCCCCCATCCTCATCAGACTGTGGCATCCCTTGGGCTAATCTGTGGCACTTACCGCAGCCACTGTCATGGCCATGTTTGTATCTCAGGCAGCCACTTACATATATCCCTTTTTTATAGGAATCATGTCCTATATTCCTTCTAACCCTAGGATGTGTAGCAACCCCACGGGTTTAGGTGTTACATCTGTTGAACACAAAACACTGAAATAAATCAGGGATATAATTCCTAAGTCAAGGCTCAAAGAGAGCACTATTTCACTGTGATCAGGGAACAGTACATACAACAGAGCCACCCTCCGTTGGTGTAGCTTTCTCTGTCATGCTGAGAATCTCACATTGTGAGGAGATGGCCCCTGGGTGCTGTACAGGTAAAGCATAATTCTTTTTTTTGACCTTGAGTATTTAAGTCCATGATATGCAATCTTAACACATTTTCTAATAAAAACTTGACCCTATGGACACTGTTAGAAAGAATACTCAAGTTTTAAGGAAATTCTAATTCTTGAGATCATCTTTTTCTCTCCCAACTTTGGCCAGTAAGGTTGTGAGCAACCAGCCATGTATGTATAATATGTCAAAACGCACTCTCATGGGCTGGAGTTGTGGTCAGTGGAAGAGCGCTTGTCTAGCACATGTGAGGCACTGAGTTTGATCC